AATCTTTTTCGCAATGCTCCTCTCTCAAATGAGCTATAGTCTAAACTCCTAGTATCCCCCTTAATAACCCCTATAGTAGTCCCCTATAGAATCCCCAATACAACCCCTATATAACCCCTATATAACCCTACTATAACCACAGCAAGTCGTATGGATATCAGCCTAAACCCTAAACCCCTAAACCCCCAAACCCTAAACCTGTGCAGGTGCCAGGGCCGGGCTCGAGTCACGGCAAAAATCCCCTGAAGCAGCTGGATCTGCAGAGGCCGTGGCTGGAGCAGCTGCTGCTATCAACGCGGCTCCTCCCAAAGAAGCTGAGCCTTAGGGGGTACTTGGAAATGCTTTACTGCTTGCTTATTACAGCCATGTAAAAAAACAGCATATATATATATGTACAAACATATTAATACATATATATATATATGTATATATATATATATTGTCTACTAGGATTCCATGTTCAGCACAGGAGCACGGAGATGAGGAAACATATTCGGTGCCACAAGCGCCAGAAAGCACAGACGTCGATGAAGACTTGAGGCCTGGAGAGAGATCTCATGGGAGAGAATGGCATCCTTAAGCCTAAACCCTAAACAGTAGTTTCCATGTTCTTTTCCATTATCCCTATATAACCCGAATATATACATATGTATACCCTATAATCCCTATATAACCCTAAAATAGCCCCTTATTATAGTAGTTTCCATGTTGTTTTCCATTATCCCTGTTATAACCCCTATACAAGCCCTAAAAAAGTCCTTATATAATGCCATTTACCGACTGCGTCCAGGCAAATCCAGGAGATTCAGGAGGAGCTTGACCATCACTTCGGAGACGTGCCCATGCCAAGCGTGGGCAGGCGGTTATGTCGGGGTTATAGAGGGGTTTTATGCGGTTTATATAGGAGTTGTATAGGATATTACCCCTAAAGATGGAGAATCACATGGAAAAGAACATGGAAACCAGGGTTATGTGGTAGTTTCCTCAAAATAGGGCCTTGTGAAGAAGTGTCAAAATGCGCGGTACAAGCCGCCACTAGACTTGCAATGCAAATGGGAAGTTTCCCAAACTAGGGGGACCCCAATGCAAAGCGCGAAATACGATAAGCCTTGTTCTGCGGACCCCGCAAAACATTACCCCTAATTTGAACTTTGGAAGCTCCCAGATTCCTTAGGATGGCCCCCACACTGTAATAGTGGTATAAGAGGAATATGATAGGGCCCTAGTACAACCCTTGTTATCCCTTATAGTCACTATTAGAGAGTGGGGGGTCCACCTAACAGATTCCGCTAAGTCTCCCGGAGGTTTGCAGGAGTGGCGGAATCTGAGATGCCCCTCGGTGATGTTGCACCAGCCACGGAGTATGGAGGAGCCGTACCCAGACCATATGATCTAGAGTTTAAACTCTTTACACCGGGGTTAGATGGGGAAATTATATGGGGGAGTACTGTAGGAGCTATTAAGGGGGATACTCGGAGTTTAGACTATAGCTCATGCAGGGATAATGGAAAAGAAAAGGGAAGCTGCGATTTAGGGTTTAGGGTTCTTGGGCTTCTAGCTTCCCAGAACCCCAAAGATACCTAGAACCCTATGGGATATTAGATAAGGATTATACGGGGTAATAATGGGTCATATAGGAGATCTAATTTTTAGATCTTCCCAGCAGTCTGGGTTTCCTGACCTTGGTCACGGCACATCCAGGCGAACACTGTGAGTCTGCGTGTGAGGTAGGAAATTATGATTGGTTGCTGGTGAGCGTGCTTAGTCAGATAGGGGCACTTAAGAGTCTTTTAGCAGTGCCCCATTTTGCGAGGCCTCGAAGGAAAATCATGGGCCATGTTTTCAGAAACAAGTGCGATTCAAGACATCTTGCGAGGAGTCAGCCCCACAACTTCCCCGGCAAGCGAACTTCGGCGCAGACATCTCCAGGCAAGGCAAGCTTTACATGGGGTTTAGGGTTTATACGGGGTGAATATTAGGGATTATATAGGGGCCATATAGGGATTATATAAGGGTGATATAGGGAGTATATAGAGTTTACATAGGGTTACATAGGGGATCATATATATAGGGCTCATTGTGGGGCTTCAGGGCTTTGTCAGCTCAGCTCCCTAAGGGGGTTTTCAACAATTGGGGGGTTAGGGATTAGGGTTCAGGGCTTTCCTTATTTGGGGATTTCCTAAAATGAGGGGTGCCATTTTGGGGGTCCCATTATAATTATAAGGGATATATTATTGGGGGTCTTTATTGGGGCCCCCTTATTTTGGGAAACTACCAATTCAGGGGTACCATTTTAGGAGTGCCCATAGGAAGGATTGTAGCATATTGCCCCCCCCCGTTTTTCCAACCTATTATGAAGGTTCAAGCCTGAGGGTCAGTTGGTGGGTTTGGGGTTCCTGCCACATAACTGGATAACCTCAGGTTTCCATGTTGTTCAGGTTCTTTCCCATTGATTCTCCATAATTGCTGTAATATCCCTATATAACCCATGTAACCCCTGTATACACCGTATATAATTGAAAGAAAAAAAATCAAAATCCTACGTAAGAATGAACAGAAATGGATCTGTCCAGGCAGCATCAGGCGTTCTGGGGAATGGCAGCAGCCGATTGGAGATGTAAATATGTTTCTGCTTAGTTGTTGGCTAGATGCAAGTGATTGCAACCGATTTTCCAAGACTTGATCGAGAGGGCTGCCAGTGCTTACTGCGCCCGTAGCTGTCCCATAAGAGGACAGTTGCTCGGCAATCTGCAAATATTTCTTATGAGAGAACTGCCTTGCTGCAGCATATCCTAAATCAACAACATGGTTGTTCTCAAAATTCTGGCCCCTTGTGGTTACAGATCATACTACAGCACCTCATATTTAGGGGTACCATTTGTTCGGCAATTTAAAGCGACCTCGCCCGACCTCACCCTGAATGGTGGTTTATATAGGGAATAGTACCAAAATGACCTTAAATTGGGAACTGAAATTATTCTAAATTACCCTGAATTCAAAATGGGACCCCATTTTTGGAAACTACCCAAATCTTGTGGACATGTCATCAGCAAAGCAATCTCCTGCATGGCATGTACAGTCTACCCAAAGCACCGGCTTCCGGGGGCTTAGGGGAATGGCCGGAACGGCCGCAGGTGCACTGATCTGTGCTCATTTGGAGGCGCAGATTTTGTGCCAGAATTGCTCCACCCAAACCCCCACAGGGATCCAGGAATTAGGTCCCCTAAAACCATATGAGAAATTGTATAAGCACCATATGGAGATTATAATGGGTCTTAGATCCTTTCAGGGGTCTGGGCAACCAAGTGGCCAATACAGCTTGCAAGCAGATACGTTCGCGCATCTCGCCCCGTCATGTGCTCCATAATGGAGGTGCGTGGCTGGAAGCGCCTGGAAGGATAAGTGCGCGTTTCAAAACTGTCTGTGCCTGCGTGCTTCACTCTGTGAGCACGTCTGCTTCATGCACTCACGGCCTTGTCAGATGTCTGCGCTACATGTCCCCCTTGCAGGCGGAGCCTTTGCGCCATTGCTTCGGCTTTAAAGATACCCTTCCATGCTGTCACACGATGCAGCAGACGCCTATGGGTCTTGTGGGGAAGCCTGACAGCACCTTGGACATGTTCATGTGTAGCATCGCAAGCATGCATAGCTCCAGGATAGCTTTGGAAGCTATAAGTTCCGCCCGGCCGTGGCACCCAACTGGTTGAATGGCTCCTGCCAATGAACAGGTTCCACACATGAGAAGCTGGCCTTTGTCTGCATGTTTCCCTAGTAATGCTAGATGATAATAGTAATCATGGCAGTATTACGTGGCAATATTAGTAATAAGAGTAATAAGAATAAGAGTAAAGATAGTAGTAGTGTCAGGAGATGCAAAAGGAGCTGGACAAGTTCAAGGCCGGTGCTCTGCAATTTTGGGAAACTAAACTGGGTTGCTGTTAAGGAACTTAAATCAGGTTACTATAGTAAGGAAATCTTACCATTTACTATATGGCCATATTAACTCAAATTTAGTTCCTTAACAGCAACCCAGTAAAAGTCAGGATGTCGAAGTGGATCTACCTGTGGCTTTTGATTCACGGCCCAGGGGATGCAGGAAGGATTGCAGAAAGACTATGAAGCTCGCATGGGGCTGATTGCCCAGCAGCAGGACCATTGACTGCTTGCCAGGTGAGTTTCCCAAAAATTGGGGTACCTTTTCGGGGGGGTCCCTACAATGAGTACCATAGAGGTTATTAAGAGGGATACTAGGAGCTTAGATTATAGTACACATAAAGCAGCTACATCGTCCCAGTTTCCATGTCATTTGTCTGTGTCTTTTCGATTTGATCCTCAAGTATCCCAGGTGCCCCGAAGATGTGCCTCCTTCATTTGTTGGTAATGCCCTAAACTCTGTATATGATGAATATATTCGCCCCTATATCCCTCTAAATCCGGAGTTTCGCACACTACCAGGAGACAGAGTTGGTCAAGCAGGAGTTCGACTCCATCGAGGACGGCTCTCTTGAGCGCCAACCCGATGGTGTGCACTTGAATGCCGGCACTGGATCTCTTCAGCAATCCAGGGTTTAGGGTTGAGGCGAGGGGGTCTCGTATAGAGCGGCTGCTCTCTTGGCAGAGGCGTTGCAGGCCAGATGCAAAAAGACGTTTAGGGTTCACACAGTCCCCGTTCTACTTTCTGAGCGTAGCCAGGATGACCCATTTCCCTTCCCCAATGAAGCATAAGAAGTCTAGTAGCCACTTGGAGGAGGACGCCATCGTCTACAAACTGGTCGGACCGGACGCTTGTCTCCAGAAAGACCGTGTCGTCCTGTTCACCTCAAGCTGGGTTCCCATCAAAGCGCCGTCAAAGCATGGCCAAGCTTAGGTGATGGTCAAACAGAACGTGGATGATGCCAAGGCCTAGATCAGAAGAAGCATTCAATCCTGGCTCACTGGAGATGTGCTAGGTTGTCAAAATTGTGGATCCTTTTCAGGTCACCATTACAGTAATACGGCCCCTCATTTTTGAACACCTACTATGTCATATGTGTGCGTGTGACAACTGTGGGAGGCAAATGTATCCAAGCGCCTCGAGTACATCTCTGGGGAGCTGGATAGGTGCCTTGCCTGAGGTAGCAGAGAGTCTTTGTGCTGCGAGGTGCGCATCCGCTAGGGTCACTGGGGCCTCTTGGTTTCAAGGTCGAACAAAATCATCGCCGAAAAGGAGAAGGACCTGGGCGACAAGCAGAAACAGCTGATAAAGTCGGAAGCTGAGAGAAGGCAAACTGGTCCTAATTACAAGTTTGTCAAATACTTCTACACCAACTCCCAAGGATGCAGCAAGAGATCCAGGCATCTGCATAAGATGCGGGCTGCGGACAAAACGGGGTATGTGCACGTTCGGCGGCGTACTTGTCCCTGCTGAAGTCAATACCTGCCGGTCATCTGGAAGAGCCGTGCCTGCGGCTGGCCGCAAACATGACGTGTCTCGTACGTTTGCTCAAAGCTGTGTAGCCGTATGAGATGCAAAGGCAGCAATGATGCAGCTTGCACAATGCTAACAAGCTCCGAACCCGTCATTGCAGTAGCGGTTGCGGACGCGTTGCAGAAACTCGAGGTCAAGCTTTAGATATACTGTCTCGCTGCGTCAAGAGTTCTTTACACGAATTTGCAATCTGGGCAGCCCGTGGTAGCAGCTGCCACATTTCCCAGCCATGCTTACAGGAGGCCAAGCCGATATGAACTTGTTAGCTTGGAATTTTGGAACCTGGTAGTTTCCATAAATAAATAGGAGACCCCAATATAAATCCCAAACTACTAGAATCCTTCGTAAACCTTATACCCTATATACCCTGTGGCCTGGACCTTTGTGTTTCATTTGACGGAAGGCTTGCTGGGAATGGACAGAGAAAATATCATACCGCAACGAGGGCTAGGGGAGATTGAACTTCAATCTGGGAGATTGAAATTCAATCTCCTAAATTGAAGATTGAAGATTCTCAGAATTTGTTTCTTCAAATCTTTAATTTTAGGACTAGGGGAGATTGAAGTTCAATCTCTTGAAATGAAGATTGTAGATTATCAGAATAGTTTTCTTCAAATCTTCAATCTTCAATCTTCAATTCAGGAGATTGAACTTCAATCTCCCAGATTGAACTTCAATCCCCTGGCCGTAAAACTGAAGTTTTGAAGAACACTTTTCTGAGAATCTTCAATCTTCAATTTAGGAGATTCAACTTCAATCTCCCAGATTGAAGTTCAA